CGGTGGCACAAAATTTTGTAAAGGTGTTGCTTCAAATATATTTTAGATAATTCTCAAATAACTTCTATATTGCATATTTAGTAAGTTTATTAGATTATTTGAGTCATTTGGTTAATTTTTTAAAAATATATAAAATAATTAAAATATAAATATTTTTTTATAAATTAAAAATAATTTATCTCAAATTTTAGAGAAGTTAAATGAGAGAATTTTTAATAATTAAAAATAATAAATTATTTCTAAATTTTTTATACAAGTTTATCTAAACTATACATTATTTAACTTTATTTGATTTTTAAAGTTATACCAACATTACAACTTTTGAAGACGTCAAATTTAGACATATTTACTCTGATATGCATTAACTTATTATTTTACTCAATTTTTTTTGGCAAGGCAGGAATCCTTATTTTAAACTTTATTAAAACAATAAATTTACATACTTTCACTTTCTGTAATAAATTATGCACTTAATATATATATACATTAAAAAAATATAAATTATATAAAAGAAAATAGTGTTAATAACAGTGTGAGAGTAAAATAAAAAATCGTGATTCAAAAGATAGAATGTAAACATTATGAATAATCAATTTTAATTATAGTATAATTTTATGAGATTAACCCTTGAAATTATGACTATAATTTAAAATATTATAATTTTAAATCTAATGTTCATTCCAATCCCAACTCTCAATTTCTTATATTTTATTTCATACACCAAACAAATAAGAAATGTCTTTCTGTTATAATGTCCTTTTTTATAATATAAATAAAGCGAGATGAGATGTATTATCTATTTATACTCTTTATTAATTGTTTATAATTTCAATAATATAAATTAACTTTTATTTATATATTAAAAATTTAAATTATTATTCTTTATAATTTTATGCTTTTCTTTTCATATAACTATTTTTTTTATGACACATGTCTCGTAAATTTCCGTATCAAATTAAATCAATTATCTACTTCAGCTACTTATCTACAAATTACATTATTTCTTAAATGATATTTTTGTTAGGTTAATGTTGCTGTTATAACATTAAGAAACAATACAATATTTAATGCGATAAAACATCTCATTTTTATTTTAGTTGAAAATGCATGCTTATACAACTTTTTAAAAATTCCAATAGATGATAATATCATTAATAGGTACAATCAAATACTGTTATTATACATATGAAAGAAAATATTTAAGATGAATGAAAATAGGAGATAATTTGAAATTGATGAATCAGTAAAATGGAAACCCAAGTGTTGAGCAGGTGTTATATGTTGCCAATTCGGTGTCGTGGCATGCCTTTAACGTGGGGCCTGGACCTGTGGGCTTGATAGTCAACCTCTTCACGAGAGGGATGTGCAAATGAGAAAGGAATCTCCTTCTCTGCGGCATAAAAAGACAAAATAGTAAATTAGACTTATTTTTCTAATCAATTTAATTTATATTTCTTTCTAAAATTTAATTCTCACTGTTTTGAAGACAAATGGACTATTTATTAATATTAAATGTATTTAATTTTCTTCCAGTAAATTTTCAGATTTAAATTCTATATATAAATAAATTGTTAGACGAGATAATCCTACAATGTTGTAAATGTTTTTTTTATAAATATTTTCTATAAAATATTTCTAACAATTAATTCGATGGAAAGATAATGTTCACGATTTCTTTTCTAATTTTAATGAAAACCAAACGTCTTTTATTAAAATTATAACATACCGTCGTATATTATATCATGTACGTACTCTGTATTTTTAAGTTTAGGAAAACTTTAATACACTGGCAATATTTGAAATAATCAAATATAAGAATTCTTAAAAATTTATGTATCATAAAATTTTATTAAAAATTTTAATATATAATAATTTTGAATTATATAATTTGTAATAATTTTTTTATTACTGATTTTTACCCTTAAATACATATAAAAATTATTATTTTGTCTTATTTATAAAAAATATTTACTTTATTAATGCTAATAAAAAGTAGTTATGTATTATAAATTTATATCATAAATATTTATTTAATTAATTGATGTCTTATATATTAAATAATTAAATATATTTATTTATATAAATAATAATTTTTTTACCAGTATAATTTTTACGATAAATAAAAATATAAAATGAAATAATAATTAACATATAGTAAAAATAATTATTTATCTGAATATTTTTTTAAAATTAATAATTATTTTTACAGAAAAATTGAAGGTAATTAATATTTTTAAATAAACAATTTATATACAATATCATGAATATTATCAGTAAATTTTAATAAAAATTAAAATATTATTTTTAAATATTAATATGTGAAATTTAAATATTGATTTTTATTATGTATATTATCAAAATAAAAATTTAATTAAAAATACTAATTATAATGATTTGTTTTAGGAAAAAAGGAAATAAAGACAAGTGGGGGAAGGGGGTAAATGCAGTAGTGAAGGTTAAAATGGGGAATGCAATGATGAAGGGGAAGATGGTGGGGCCCGAATCTCAAAAGCGAGATTTAATTGGTAGGCCACACCAACCGAGGCTACATCCTATCCCACCCTACATTTATTTATTTGGAGCAATTTGTGAACTTAAAAAAGTGATCGTGTCAGAACATTGCTCGGCCTATGTTTACCAGCGCGTACTCAACACTGCCCACACCCAAACCGTCTGTGTTGTGCAAGCGCTTCTCCTGCAAGTGGATGATAACGACACTTCCTCGCCACCAGACATGACTATCGAGGTCAGTGCCGGAACCGTCACGCGCAGCACGTAGAACCCTCATTTCCTCATCTCTCTTGGTGGAGGTGCGCGTGGACTTACGCGTCATAGGGATCCGTGAGTTAAAGTTTTCCCCTCTTCCACTTGCAGTTGGAGCGGTGAAAAAAATGAGCGACACACTTTTGTTTGCGGCACTGCACACAGCAGTCTTATGTATATTCTTATAATTTTAATTTTTTAAATGAAAAATTAAAAATGTTAAAAGTTGTGTGTTTCGTGAAATGTGAGAAAAGTGATATAAAAATGTGGTGAGGAATGAAAGATTAATATTGATGATGCAGTATGAAGAAAAAATCGATGATGTAGAGCGCGAACGACACTAAATAATATAAAATGACGTTTTATTAATGAGAAAGCAACTCGCTTGGCAGGTGTGTGATCTCCATCGCTTGAAACTAATGATGGCAAAGATGGATCTTAGCTTTGGAATTAAACTACAAAAATGTCACGTTTGAAGACGATGCCTGGGAATATGCTGATATTTTGCAATGCGATCGTGATTTGTTTTACAGTTCCCATTCTTAGAATTTTTTAATTTTAGTAATTAATGACACTTTCAACTTATATATTATACACGAACAATTATTCATAATGGATGGCACTTCAATTCTTTTTCTAATCATTCTTTACGGGAATTATTTTATATATTTGAATATTTAAGAAAGATAAAATAAAAATAAAAATCGGCGCTGTCGAGATACACTGCACAATAAGTTAGTTGTAAGATAATTTTATCCTAAAGACGAAAAATAGTTAGTTCATTGAATCTAGCACAGTGTAAAAATAAAATAAAAATTTAGCACTGACCATACCCTATAAACTATAAAGATTCATTTCAGGCACAAGAATATTATTCACAAATATCCCCAACATCTTAATTAACAAAGTCAAAAATATTGTTTAATAATGTAAATATTGCTTGCAGTATAAAAATACAAATAATATTTATTTTCTATTTCGAATATCACTTAAAATATACATATTAAAAATAACAATTTATATTTTTTTTTATGTTTTAAAGTATTTAAGATAGGTTTAAAAATTGAATAAAAGATTTCCAAAGTACAGTAATACCCCCTTCACTCTCTGAAAATGAATCCTGGGAAATAAAGATTTTTGGGAGGTCATTTATTTCGTCCGCCAACTCATTGTCTTATCAGATAGCCTTTTCACTCTGTGGGGGACAAGTGAAAAAGATGGAACAAGTTACTTAGCCCAGCTTACCTGCCAGAATAATTTCAGTTGCAATATTATGATTTTCTAAAATTTAAGTAAATAAATTATGTAAAAAAATAAAATTAAATAGTTTACTTTTTATGATAATTTTTTTTTTATTCCAGAGAATAATGTTGCTTGTCAATTTTATTTTTTTTACAAAACACACAATTTAATCACTATTATTTAGCTCTTTTTTCATAATATTCTTAAGTTATTAAATATTTTTTAAAACTTAAAATTGAAACTTATTTTTTTAAAATTTTACATTTAAAATAACGAAATCAACTTTTTCTATTAAAGTTTCTATTCAATCATAAATTCTATTATTTTAATTTTTTTTTAATTTTACATTAAACTATTTTTTGCATCTTAATCATTTATATATTTATAAATAAATTATATGTACTGTCGTTTATATTTACGTAATAATTGTTACTGTAACTGTTTGTTTAAAACTATTTATCCCTTTAAAATATTAATAAAATATTATTATTGTTGTTATTTTTTAACCTCATTTTTCTTTCACATTTTCTTTAAATGATTTAGTATTGGTGTTTATGATTTATATATATATATATATATACATAATACCCAGTTTCATGATTTATTAATATCATGATTTATTTTTTTTCTTTAGAATTTAGACAAATTATTAATTCTCAAATCTTATGTAAAGTTTTAAAGCGTCAAATATTTTAAAATGAAGTTACTAATTATTAATTAAAAAGGTGAACACACGATACATTATGAAAATAGTAAAATCATAAACATTATTTGTTATTTAATGATTATAAAGAATCTATATTTGTATGTTTTAAAATACATATCTGATGTTGGTGGATACATACTCCTTCCCGCAAACTGTTCTGTTTGGGAGTGTGAGAGTGTGATGTTACTTTTGGAAGTATCTTGAAATATGATGATGCATTTTCAGTGATTGTTGGTTCCCAGCTGTCTATGGACCCTTGTGGTGTCTTCTCTCGTAGTCTCTTCTCTCTATTTTTACTTCTCACCATCGAAGAATCCCTCTATCAACCTCTCTCTCTCTCTCATTCCTTTTCTCTTTTAATAAAACTTTTTCAATTTATTTTCCCATGAAGTGATCCCAAACGAAAATAGAGGCTACTTTGCTTCCTTGTTTCTTGTCTTGGATTTTCATAATTAATAATTTTTCACCAACTTGTGGGCTTTTTTAGTTCTATAAATTCTCCGCTTGAATCACATAGAGTCCTCTTCCACTTTCTCCTTCTTTCTTTCTTATTACCCTCTCTCTAGGTAGCTAGCAAGATATTTCTTATATATCCTATGGTCCGTGAGAGCCCTTGTTCTCTACCAAGCCTTTCTTCCACATGTTCCCTGCCATGCTGAGCTTTAACTCATTCTCTTCCTAAGTTCCATATCAAATACCCTTTCAGATTCTCTTACCTTCTCTCATCGTTCTCCTCCTTAAACTTCACTTTTTCTTTTGGCTTCAGCATGCGCAACCCATATAGCAAATCTTCTATCATCCTTAATTCTAATACTTAAGTTTGAAACTTTTTAGTATTGGGTCGGAGAATTTGACGCTTGGGAACATAAAGTCTCTAATTTTTTTTTCTGTGTTTTTAATAGCTATTAGAAGTGCATATTAAATGTCCAACATCTTGTTGTTGATGTTTGATATTCATGTATCCGATTCTCAGTGAAATCTTCTTTTCCGGGTGTATGATCAATTCTACTGTAAGGCGCAGGACCCATTTAGTTCAATCCTTCTCAGTTGCTTTCCTCTATTGGCTTTACTACGTTTCATGATTTCTAACCTTTTCTTAGTTTAACGCTATATCATCAATAATAATATCATTATATCATCTACTACTACTACTACTATTATTACATATAAATACTAAATCTGCAGTAATTTTCTGAGTTTGTGTTTAGTGTCTGGGTCCTGTGCCAAGTGTGTTAATTGAAAAGAAAAAGGGTCGTGCAATATCCTATCTCCTGTTAATTAATCTCTGGTTATCACCATAATATGGCTTCCTCGAGTGGAACATCTTCAGGGTCATATATGCTTCAGAACTCAGGTTCAGAAGAGGACTTGCAGTTGCTTATGGATCAAAGGAAGAGGAAGAGGATGATATCCAATCGTGAATCTGCAAGGCGATCTAGAATGAGAAAGCAGAAGCACTTGGATGATCTGGTTTCTCAAGTGGCTCAGCTGAGGAAGGAGAATCAGCAAATTCTCACAAGCGTTAACATCACCACCCAACAGTACATGAGTGTCGAGGCTGAAAACTCAGTGCTGAGGGCTCAGGTTGGAGAGCTGAGTCACAGGTTAGAGTCTTTGAATGAGATCATCGAGGTGCTGAATGCCAGCACTGGGGTTTATGGAGCATCAAACAGCTTTTTTGATCAAACCAATAGCCTCTTCAACCCTTTCAATATGGCTTATCTGAACCAGCCTATTGTGGCTTCTGCAGACATGTTTCAGTACTAAGAAGAGAAGAAAGGAAGAGTGGTATTGTTGATTTCTTCTAGGTGTTGAGTCTGTTGAGAAATTGTAATCACTACCATATGGTGATAAGGAATAATGAATGTGTATCATAAAGCTGGTGAGATTGTTAGGTGCTGGTTCTGTGGATGGGGCCTGTTTGGAGACTAATATGAATTGGGATATGGGCCACTATTGTTGCCACCCTCCTTTGCTATATTGTAATAATAATATTAACCTAGTTCTCTATGTTATTCTACCTATATCTTTTTTTTTTTTCAATTGAATGTTTTATATAATTTGTAGTTCTATGCTGAAATCGGTGTTTATTTGACTAAGTCGAGAGGGTAGACGATTTTGCAAATTAATGTTGAATGATTGGGAAAGTGGACAAATTTGAGTTCATTACATTAGTGATCTTCCCTTGAACCTGGACATAGATGATTCATATATACATTCAATCACGGTTAAATCTGTCACTTCTCTTTGGATGGTGGTATTTTGAATTATTTTTCTGCTGATGTTTGCTCTTTCATGCACTATAAGGGGCAAACTAGGCTATGCTTATTGAGCATTCACACATACAAACTCGAGGCAAGTCAAAAGGCAATTTCCACCAGGCTCCATCGAAGAAGTTGATTTTAATGCGGTATTAGTATTTGGGGGCGATTAGAAGACCTTAATTAGGCGGTTCAAAGTGATTTGTAACCTTTTTATAAGGTTTTCAAATCTTTTAAGCATTTTTAACATTAGTTGTTTACTAATAGTAGAATTTTACTGCGATAAAAGTTAGTCACATTAATAAAAACCACACATGTTGTCCATTTGAAAAAGTGTATCACAGAAATTCAATAAAAATAAACTGTAATTTTTTGTAATACTGTTAAACTAGTAACTCAAACTTGCTCTAGGAAACAATAAAATTTATCAATACTAAGAAACAAGTTTTAAGATATCGAAAGAGATTACTAGAATTGTGTTTGTATTGTCTAGGTTCCTCATGTACTCATAAAAAACACGTATCTTAATTAAAGAAAAAGTCCAAAAATTACATGTAAAAGAAAAAGACATGAAGTGCATAAAGAGTAGGTCGCGGTTCCCGTTGTCACTTTTACTCGCAATAGCGGTTGCAGTTTGGAAGAAATTCCTTGAAATCAGAAATGTACACAAACATGTTTGGATAGTGGGTCTGTCGTATGTTTGGCTCCAATTGAGAATCATTATTGTCCTAGCAAGCCACTCTCTTAGATTAAGTTTCAGAGGAAGACATTTCAGCTCTACGGTTTTCAATTTTTCTTTCGGTTTGTCTAAGGAAACACAAATCAGTTCAATAATAAAGAGGTAAAGCGGCGACAAAAATGGATCAACTAAAAAAAAGTGACAATTAAAAATGAAAGTAAAGGTTGGAACTTTGGGTTGAAGTTGCTTGGTCAAGTTCTTGGAAAGGTTTAAAGATACATATTTTGAGGAAAGAGGAGACATGGGTGTGCTCATGTGATGAGGGTACAAGCTCCACGTGCAAGGAACAACGTTTCAAGAGCAACTGAACTACTAGTATGTATGAAATCAAGAAACACTATTATTTAAAATTTAATAAAAATATAAAAGTATAAAAAAAAGAAACATTAATTTAAATATAATAAAATAACATTTACGTAATTTTTAATAAATTGTAATTAATAATATAAAATGTGTCAGAAAAATATTCTTATTGCACATATGTGTGTTGTTTGTAAGCTTTGGGACACTTAACTGAATCGTATTACGTTAATGGCAAATGACGATAAACGTGTGATAGTGTATGGAGGTCGCTAAAATTCAGTTCTTACTTTATGATGTATAAATATAAAACGTTATGTAAATTAAATGACAGTGCATTTTAGGACAAAATTTAGCTTAGTATGATAAGTGTTTTTGGTCTAGTTTTTAATTATGATATAACATTAAATATAATTTTTATTAACCGAAATTTTAACTTAATTATTAATAAATAGTATAAACAACAGTATCTTGATCCTTTTGTTATCCTCAACTTTTAGGCTTAAGTTTAAACATTTTTAAAAAGTAAATTTTCATTAAAAAAATCATATTCTATAATAAAATATTACTATTATTAATTACTTAAATTTAACTCTTAAGAATTAAAGTTAATATTTTTTATTTTTTAATATAAAATCCACAGCACATCTATAAAAGAGATAAATACAAAGTTTCTACATGTACCCTATGTATAAAACTTCAACATGACTAAATTACTTAAACTAAATCTGATTCTTACTAACAGTTTGATACATCACGTTGAGGAAGTTTATAAAAGCATCACCTTTTTAAGAAGAGAAAGTTGTAACGATTAAATATTTTGTGACAAAGATGGGATCCATATCCATTTTTTTTTCTGCGTATATCGAAATCATTAGAAACAAGAATGTATTGTTAATTAAACGAATTAATGAATCGTTAATTAAACCAATTAACACTTTTTTATCAGAAGTTTACGATATTAGTGGAAGGTAGCCGTAAGACACACTAATACGCAAAGAAAGGATAAGTACGAAATGGTAAAAAAAAATATGATGCATACACACACATATAACTGATTTTTTTTTTTCATGGATTTCACATACAAAGTAGAGTCTCTCTTATAAAGATCAACTTAAGTTTCATATGAATTTTAAAATGATACGAAATTCATTTAGAATAATGCAAGTATCAGTTAAAATGGAATGTTTAAACTGCATTCTGTTTAATTTATTTAAAAAAACAAGTGTGTGTGTGTATATATATTCTTTTAGTTTCAGCTTGTATTTTAAGTGGTTTTATTATTATTATTGTTATTTAAATTTTTGTTTTTATTTTTTATTTTGAGCCGTTTATGTTTTTTCAAATACTTTTAGACTAAGATTTGATACTAAATTAGAATTTTTAATGTGGGTCTAATCTAAAAATAGGAGAGTATGTTTAAGTTTTGTTTGTTTAATTTTTATGACAATTTTGATTTATAGTTTATATTAATTATATGTATTTTATTATATTGCTAACCCATCAATATAAATTTTTTTATCATCTAAGACTCATCTCATATATGCACAAAAAATCTTTAAAAATAAAATAAAATTTAGAATCAACCCTAAAACCACATGCTTGAGCTATAGAGCTTCCTATTCTACTTAAATGCACATGCTTTACATTACATATTTCATAACTATATTTGTGAATAATAAAATATGATGTAAAGCTGTGAAGTTAGGTTTTGAGAGGGAACACCGTTAGGGTTTATAATTTTGAGTGAAATATGAAATTTTTATTCAATAAATTTTGATTGAAAGAAGCTTTAAATGATTTACCTGGTTTTAAAAATGTAAACAGAAGGAACTAACCGAAAAAGTGGATTGCAATAATAAAAAATTGGAAAATTAAGTTTAGTAAGAATTATTAAATGACCCAAACAGCACATTAACTATCGTGGATCAAATAAAATTGCAATTAGTCCCTTTTAATCACGTTATTCACATAATTGTTTGGTTTAAAATAATAACAATTTAATTTTACTACGCTTAGAACAAAAGTTGAGGGTCTAGTTTCCTTAAGATTCTAACATCTGTGTAATTCTCCTTCTTAAATAATGAAAAGAAACAAAACACAATAATTAAGAGATTTTTTAAAAAAATTTCAATCACTATCTTTGTCTTTGGATGCCCACATATTTCTTCCACAAAAAAACGGAACATTGTAAGGGGTCGACTCAAGGGTTGTCAATGTTACAGTCACATATCATAGATAATTAAAAACTATGGTCTTGTGGCATCCTACGCAACTTAGCTTCTTTAAATAATCATCTTTTGAAGAGTAACCATTAAAGATTGTTCATTTTTGTCAACCCTCAACTTCACAACAGACAAAAGCACCATCCCCAAACGTGTATTTTGAAATGACTATTAGGCCATTGGAGGACTTTGCACGCCCAAATAAACACAAGTGTAATTACACGTACGAACCAAGAAACAAGCAATTAATTCAATATTGATAAACAGTAAAAAGATAACTGATGAATTAAAAATAGAAGGTGCGAAAAAAAATACCACCAATTCTTAAAACTGAGTTAAATTTTCATTAAAAAAAATTAGTATGCTTTTATATTTTAGTTATCATAAATATTTTTTAAGAAAAAATTATTACTTTTAAATACTTAAATTCAATCATAACATTTGAGGTGAGACTTGAAAGGAATTTCTCGAAATTACAAATAAAAAGTCTACAATTAAAATGGTGTCAGGAATTGGAGGAAAAAAAACAACATGCAAGCCGAGAAGTCACATTGTACATAATGTTGGACATAGGTGCAAGAGTCTGGTTCATTGAAATCTATGTGCATTATAAGAAAAAATATTTATCAACCAAAGAAAATGTAAGTTGTTTGGATTGTTTTATGGATACACCTCTTGTCTAATAGAAATTAAACCATCAATATAGATATTTTAGATTTATATTAATGACAGAATTTTTAAATGTATATTTAACAATACATAATACAAAATTAATAAATAATACATTTTTATAAAAATACAATATTTAGCATTATTAACACATAAAATTCTATAATTTTTAATAAAATTATTATTTCAAGTCTTTAAATACTCATTAAAAAAATAATATTGATATAAATTGTAATGATAATATATCTCAACATTCTACAATAATAAAATTATTTATTAATGCAATTTATTATACTATTTATGTATACTTGTAATGTTTATACTAATTACTTATTTTTTATTAAGTAAAAATTACTCTACTCATCTCTGAAAATTATTTATTTAGTTAATTTTTATAATAGTCATTTTATAATTTAAATTTTTATTTAATTCTTAATATAATTCTTATCTCAAAATTTATTTTTAATTATTTTCTATATTCATGTATTGTATAAACAAATTTCAAAATAAATATAATAAAATGTTTCTTAATATCTTTAATAAAAATTAAATACATTTATTAATTTTTGTATTAAAGCCTTAAATAAATATTTTTAAAAATAAAAAAGTAATAAAAACTGCTCTATTGTAAAGTGTTGAGAAATGACATCTCTCTCTCTCTCTCATGGAATGTGTAATTCTACTGTAGAGTAAGGTAGCATTGGATTGCTAACAAAGGTTGCTTCAAGTGTTAGTATCAAAAAAACGTCTACAAGATGATATAAAGTGTTAATATCGATTTTTACTGACAGTATATATATATATATAATGTGTTGAGACATGTCTGATTTTGTAGAGGGACAAGTTGCTTCTCAAAGCACCTAATCCCAAAAAGAAAAAAAAGTAGCTTTCAGTTTTATTTTATTTCTTATGCTAAGAACAATAGTTGCCTAAGATTGACCATCATGTAGCCATGACTGAGTGGCGGCCAAACAATAGCAGTAGCCACCACTGCACAAAGAAAAAACACAAGTCAATTTAATTTATCCACAATAGTTTAAAGGAGAAACTCCACATAGTAAGTATATCAAAGCAAAATATTGATCTTTTTTTTTTAAAGATATTTTTCTAGTGTGGTTTGAGGAACCTTCCTATCTCGGATTATTTTATATATATATATATATATATATATATATATATCAAAATATGTTATTTTAAAAAAATTATAAAAATATAAAATTTCAATTTTTTATATATAATATTTAAAAATAATATATGTTAAAATATGATATATATTTTTTAAAAATTATAAAAACATGAAGTTTAAAAATCACTGCTCTTTAGTACAGGTGCATAGATTTAGAGATAAATATTGTTAAAAATATTTAAAAATTTAAAAAGTCAAAACTCATTAAGGGTATTTTTTATTTTTTAAAATATAAAAAATGCCATGGACAATTTTGAATTTATTTTCGTAAATTTTCCAAAACACCACCATATTTTGATTATTTTCTTTTTTTTTCATGAAAAAAAGCCTCATATCTCAGTTATATATATATATACACTAGTAATTCATAAAGTTGCCGAGCTAGAAGCTTAAGATGTGTAGAAGGGACCCATAGCGACTATAGTTAGATTGGAATATATTTCTCTGAATATGACAAGATTTCCAATGGAGGGTTGACAAAAAATTTGGGAGAATAGTTCGAAACTTTCATAAGAAACATGAGAATTATAATCTTTCATTTGGAATTATTTACTATTTTAATGTGTAATAAAGAATAAAATCTTATCCATATAACTTTTTTAAGTGAGTATCCACATATCTTTTTCCTTTCTTTGATTAAGAGCTTGTATACCTCCTCTTAACTATGCATTGAAATGGAAAGAATAATTCCCAATATGCAAAAAGAAAATGAAAAGAATGGACATCTTGGTGGGCATCAATCAGGTGAAAGCAAAGAGTACTTCTTTTTGTGATGCTCTATGGTACCATATTATGCGAGGGAGAATGCAAGATTGCTCGGCAAGAAAACCAATCAAAATGAAAATTACAAACATAAAAGTCATCAAAAAATAATATTTCAAGCAATTAATAAAGCTTCTCTAGCTTTCAACCATCCATCATTTGATACCGATCTTTAAAAATGGGAAGCACTAAGGTGAAAAATTCAAAATAAGCTTTGTTATATGGTCACTTCATTTTACTTTTTTTAACATTTAGTTATTCCATTCTAGAAGCATAGACTTGGGCTGCAAATCTGGAGAAAAATAATGGGCACTGATTCTTTATAAAAACGTAACCAATAAGATTCCCACACATGCAATATTAGGCTAAGCACCAAAGTAGCATGAGTGCTCTAACTGGTTTCCATAATTTGCTTGATTGGCAAAAATATATAAAAAGAAGATGATACTGAGACCCATGTTTACATTTCAAAATTTTCTCCAACTCGAGAGATGCAAAAGAACATAGATGAAAAGACATTAAATATAATAAGCAAAAGGGTTCAAAGTGGATTATTTTGGCATTCTGATTTATAATTCCACGTCTTGAAGAAAAAGTCAGTATGGAGCTTATATTATTATATTATATATGTATATAGGTACAACATGTGAAAAGAGGGGACAAGGATGAGAAAATCTCCAACGATGCCTTCTTCTTTGTGGTTTTCATTGCATGTTAGGAAAGTTAATTTAGTACATTTATTTATTTATGTCAAAGAGGGAGAGCATGTGGCCAGCCAGATTGTTGAATAGTTCACATGCTTCGATAAAAAGTTGTCCTAATATGAGTTTATTTTGTAGTAGATTCGTTGTTGATTATTGGGATCTAATTGAAGTATGTTGTACTACTAGTGGCATTAGCCTCAGTGATCTACAATTTGTCAATTTCTTAAAGATAGCCTGCACTATTCCTCTAATAAGAAATACTGAAGAATAAGAGGATACACCAGAGATACAAACTATGTATGATATAGGTTAAAGAAAATTGTGGTAGTGATATGTAATCAAATTAACCCTCAGACATTTTTGGTGGTGGGATAGGGGACCATTTGGAGTAGATAAAGGAATGGCAAGTTTTCTAATTTCAAAATTACTATAGTTTGGATGGCTCTGCATCCAAGTTACCAAATCAAGCTTTATAGTGCTGATAGCTTACACACACACACACACACATGTACACACACACACACACACAGAGAGAGAGAGAGAGAGAGAGAGAGAGAGAGAGAGAGAGAGAGAGAGAGAGAGAGAGAGAGAGTTTTAAATTCTGTGACACATTTAATGTAAGTTATTTAATATTAAAAAAAGTTCATATGCTATTATTTGATATAACACATAAGTGATTTTATCTAAGTTCTATCCCTTTTTATTTCTCTGGGCTAAACTACAAACACATTTTTTGTTAAAAGAAATACAAAGTGATAACCAGAAGTTGCTACAGTCCATTGAAGAATTGTAGTAAATTAGCAATACCTACTCCATCCAGGTTTATGAGGTTACCAATAAAATGGAGAGAATGCGGTAAAGTACGAACACTTTGCATTGGGTCTAACAAATTAATTCTTTCTTAAAAAATTAGTCTCTTTAGTAAATTTTTTTCTTGAAATAATAATAATTTTACATTTTTAAGGTAAAAAAATAATTCTTTTTTTAATTTTACTCTTAAGATAATCATTATCTCAAAACTCATTTTTTTTTATCTTCCCTCTGTTCATTTATTACATAAACAAATTTTAAAATGGGTATAATAAGAAATTTTATATAAAAATAAGATAAATGAATGTATTTTTTTAGTTCATGTGTCACAGTCTTAACAACTATTTTCCAAAGATGAAGAGAATAGATAGGAAAACTTTTTATTAAATTTAAGATCCTGTAGTGTCTTCGAAAAATAGGGTAAAAAACTAATAAAAAAATTATTAGAAATCGTTTTATAATCTAAAAGGTAACTTCTAAGAGGTTATAGTAGCTATTTGTTTTCCTCCACAAAAAATAACTCGAGAAAAAAAAGTACTTCTTTGAAGTGAACTTAATTTGAGAGTAACAGTAAAAAAAAAAGTAAGAATGTTTACTTTTGAATGGTGTTTAATTGATAAAATCACAATATGCTTTAAATGAAAAATACACCCTTATTAGTTCACTTTAAACACCCTTATTTTAAGGGAATTTAATCCTTAATTATATCGTTGTGGCACTCTCTCATCTTCTCTAAGTTAACATACTGGATTGCATTATAGCTATTAGAGATTACTATGTTCACTTTTCTTGATCAAGAAAGAGGGCAGAACTAAAAGCATTTTGACGTCATTGGTTGGGATAAATTTTCACTTTTGGAGTGGATGCATATACCCTGCGCAATAAAATGGAAATATACCCGTATCACAAAGTAAATTGAAGAATGGAAACCCAAAATGGTTGCACAAAAGATAAAAAGAGGGAGAAAAAATCCTAATGAGGGACGAAAGGTTCTCTTTTCCTGCCGAGTTGATTGTATGTAAAATGAGAACGTTCGTGTTTGTTGATGGTTAAATTAGAAAAGATAAAGCCTACATAACCTTGTTAATCTAGTAGCATCTCTTCGGGTTACTAGAAAATTGTAGTGTCTAAAGTAAAGAAGATAAAATAAAATTATCCCACGTAAATTATCTCCTTTAGGAAGGACTCCCGTGATAACTAAATAAAATTGTCAAAGAAACAAATGCTAACAATATACTTATTTTTTTTCAAATAAAATTTAGATAATGATTTTACCTTAAACACAGAAAATATTATCAAATTTAAAATGTTCATTACTAGAGAGTAGAATACTGAAAATGTACTCTACAATTTCTCATCCTACTCAATGACCCCAAGTAAATGTAGACTTAAACCAGTACACTCAAGAAGAGAGGACTAAGGGGAGGACCAGGGTTTCAAACTTTGTTGAAGGAAATATATATAGGGCTTGTTTACATACACCAAGAATCGATTATTTTCAAAGAGAAAAATAAGTATTGTCATGTAACATGCTTTGATAGATTAAAAAAAATGTAACATTCTTAGGAATTCGTGCTTATCATTCATTTTTAGTGGTATGATATTGGCAACCTACAAAGAGAAGTGCAAGAAAGGATAAGTTTAAGCTTCCAATCCCATGAAATCAATGTTCATGAGGTAGAGAGCTGTATTAAGAATGAGATGCCTGAACTTGTATTTTAAGAATTTGGAGAGACAATGTCTTTGAACATCAAAATTACTAACCCCAATTTTAAGTGAAAGCATTCTAGAAGAATTCATGAAAATCTATGAAAGCCAACCTTTATAGACTTGGTAGAAAAGGAATCAACATCAGAACTCAATGCAAAACTAGTTCTGCAGCTAGATATGCTCAAATCACTAAAGCAAGTTTCAATTCTTCCATAGCCCATTGACTGTAATGGACATAATTCTCTTTTATCATTTCTGTTCTTTTCAATCTCTAGGACAAATCCATTGATTTGAATAAATTATGCACACCCAGAATTTTGAATATAAATCAAAGCAATAAAATGCAGTCCCTCAGTTGTTCCAAAATGAATGATGGTACATTGAATGATTGTACCATTAAAAAACTAAGGAAAGATCAATTTGACAGGAAAATGTGTAGACAAAGCACAGAACAAATTCTAGATTCAGGCCAGCAAGTCATACCAAGTTAAAGACAAACCCAACAAAGCATCAAGTTTAGAGAAAACTCTTTTCCAAATCTTCCACTATGTTGCTTGTTTGTTACAAGAAGCAGGAACAGTGCAGCAATTGGCTGGTAAACATCTCAGTATCAACATGTGTGTGTTATTTTCCAGTGGCTACCAAATTGGGAGACGCTGCTAGAAGACCCTCAATTCCTATACACGTCCACAAACTGTTTTGTCAGCACAAGAGCATAGAAGTTGAATCCATAATTCAACATCAATACAAGACTAAGCTTTGCTATACAAACTAAAAATTAATCCTGAATTAAAAAGACGTAACATTAGAAATAATGCACAACTAACAGACTAAGTTATTGAAGTAGGAAACGGATTTCATAACGCAATAGTCTATGTTGATAACACGGAGAGTGATGGGAAGATAGATTGTATAGATAAAACAAAACATACAAAAAAAGACACAGATCATGTATCCTGATTTAGCCGTTTGAGTATACAATGCACATTAGTTCCTTAGTTTTCTTATCATCAGGAATCAGCACTGTAGGGGTAGTTGATTTTGACTTGGTCCTTCTTCTACCCGTGGGCGCAATTAGCAAAGCATGATAACCATATAGTTATTATAATACAATCTTGTTTTAATGGGTCATAGTCATAGCCATCTGAAAATGACTTCTCCTTACTATAATCCAAACTTCAAACTGTCCAGGCCAACGGTAAGAAGAATTGTGGTGGTCTTATTCATTGCTTGTTGATTTGGATTTTTAAAAAGTCTTATCTTCAAACATGTGAAGGTCTAAGCTCACGAGAGAAATAATCAGCTTTCTTAGTTATCCTTGCGCTTGCCCTGCAGGTTCCATTCACTTTCTTTTTCGTATTGCTTCTGATTCTCTTTCTGTTTTCAATCATTCCTTATGTGTTGTTTATCAATTATAGTAATTTTTTGTTCTCTTTTATAACTGATTTTTCTTTTTCTACAAAATTTCAGCTTTCATAAATATGAAGGAAAAGAGAAGTTTTTCTGAATTTGTGTCAGAGTTAATAGTTCTAGCTGATGAGGTTGCTTCTTTTACTAAGAATCCTGAAATCAAGGTAGATGATGCTTTTGCTGAGTTTGGCATGTTGGTTGAGAAATTCGCACCAATCTTCAATGACTTGAGAGACAAAAGCACAATCATGAACAAGCCAGCCATTAGGAAGTCTTTGGAATCACTTATGAATGAGCTTGGTCGTGCTAAAGCTTTGATCAAAAGCCACTCTTTGAAAGAGCCCATCAAACGAATTGAGAACATAACACATGATCTTGGTCGATCATTAGGCATGCTGCTTGTGGCCACCCGTGAAATGTCCGCAGATTTTAGAGAAAAGATTGGTACATTGCAGAAACAGCTGATGACTGCTAGGTTTGTTGGGAATACGAGTCTAACTTCATGTTCAATATCAAAGTTTGTCAATGAAATGAAGGTGGTAGGGGAAATAGAAGAGGAAATAATTAATGTTACTAGTGACGATGTTTTGCTACAGCTTAAGAATGGTAACACTGAAGAAGTTGCAGTTGCACTTTTAAGACTAAAGAAGTTCTTCAAGGTTGGAAAACTAGACAGTGGTTTGGTTAACGTGGAAGCTGTTGTTTTCATTCTTTTCAATTGTCTAGGTTCATGTAAAGCAGGCAATAGGCTTACCATCATTCAATTGCTACGAAATATTGCTTTGGGAAATGATGAGACAAAGGTAAATTTCTGCTAATAAGGCGACATTTCTTATGCATGTTGGTCTAAAATCACTGCAGTCCTTGTTGTTAGTTATCTTATGTTATATCATAGTATTATGCAGGAGAAGATGACAAATATTGAGTTTTTATCAGCAGTGGTGAAGTCTCTAACTAGAGACACTGAAGAGAGGAGAGAAGCAGTGGGACTGCTGCTTGAACTCTCTGACCTTCCTGCAGTTAGAAGGAAGATTGGAAGAATTCAGGGGTGTATCGTTATGTTAGTTTCTATCTTGAATGGAATTGACCCTGTTGCTTCACATGATGCTGCAAAGTTGTTGGATATATTATCCTATAATACACAAAATGCACTTCATATGGCTGAGGCCGGTTACTTTGGGCCACTAGTGCTGTATCTGAATGAAGGTGATGTAGAACTTTCCATCACTAAAATTGATACATCACTTAGCTATGTTAATTTTAATACAAGAAATTTGAGGAGTATAATTGGTAGATTTTGTAGATACTGTAAACTTAGCATTTGTTTTAACCAAGGCAGTCCACTAAAAGTTTTTGGACATTAGTGGCCCCTTGTAATTGTAGAATGCATGTACCAAGCCAGAGGAGGTATGACTGTGACATGAAAATCATTTGTGGGATTATTTACGAAATTACGATAATTAATTTGCAGAAAATTTAAATTTAGGCTTAACAATTTGTCAGTCTTTGCAAATTTTGCATTCAGACATGTAGATTAAGGTGTTTCTTTCTATATAAATGCTACATGCATGCAGCGGTAACAGATTTATTTTGTTTGATAATTAGTGTTTAGACCTGTGCAATTCATGGTGTAAACTTTATTTATTGAAAGGAATAAAACAGATTGTAGCTAGTTGGTTCAATACTAAAAATGTGTTGACAAATTTAGTTTGTCTCTTCAAATGTAAAGCTAAATGTTTATATAAATAACAATTGCAATGAGAAATCAAAATGGATCCTGCCAAAAGATAAGAATCTTCGATCAACTGAATCCAAAACCTACTAACAACATTACAAAATTAGGGGGCCAAAATTGTTGCTAATGCTCACCTTCTAACTCAATTGACAGGAAGTGAAAAAACCATCATAGCTCATAAAGAACCGATGAATTCTTTAAGTTGTGAAATAAATTTGAATTTAAAAAGAGATAATTGAGCTGTAATTGAAATTATCTAATTATGTGTGTAATTTATAGATGAGACAATAATCAGAACTGGAGTAAATTTCTCTATTCCCTTGACTTAAAAATTTCAACCCATATTATTGCAGGTTCTGACATGAAAAAGATACTTATGGCAACAACACTTTCTAGGCTGGTGCTCACTGATCATAGCGAACTTATCCTTGGACAAGATGGGGCAATTGAGCTCCTTGCGAAAATGTTCAATTCTGGGAAACTCGAGTCCAAGTCATCTGCTCTAAATGCACTCCAAAATCTTACCAGCTTGACAGAAAATGTGCAACGTTTGATCAGAACTGGAATTGCAGGAAATCTTCTACAACTTCTTTTCTCTACAACATCTGTGCTCATAACTCTAAGGGAGCCTGCAGCAGCTATTCTTGCAAGAATTGCTAAGTCAGGATCTGTTCTTGTTAATCAAAGTGTGGCTCAACAGATGCTCTCACTCTTGAATCTTTCTAGCCCAGTAATTCAAGGTCATATATTAGAATCTCTAAATAGCATTGCTTCCCATGCTTGTGCTTCAAAAGTCAGAAGCAAAATGAAGGAAAGAGGAGCACTTCAGCTAGTTTTACCTCTTCTGAAGGAAACAAAAATTGAAATACGGAGCAAGGCCGTCAAATTGTTGTATACTCTCTCCGAAGATCTAACAGATGAGTTGAGTGAACATCTTGATGAAACTCATCTTTTTGACATTGTTAACATTGTCTCATCATCAACATCAGATTGTGATAAGGCTGCTGCTGTTGGCATACTGAGTAATCTTCCTGTTAGTGATAAAAAAGTAACAGATGTACTGAAAAGAGCTAATTTGTTGTCTATTTTGGTATCCATCATGGATTCAGGTTCCAGAACTAACTCATGCACTAGAAGGAGCTTAATGGAGAGTATTTCAGGCATTGCAATCCGGTTCACATGTTCTTCTGACCAGAAACTACAACTTTTTTCAGCACAACATGGGGTGATTCCTTTGCTTGTTAAACTGCTCTCAAGTAGTTCAGCAATCACAAAACTTAGAGCTGCAATCTCTCTCACTCAACTATCACAGAATTCCCTCTCTCTTAGGAGGTCTAGGAAGTCAAGGTGGTTGTGTGTTCCTCCCTCAGTGGATGCATATTGTGAAGTTCATGATGGTTATTGCTTTGTAAGCAGCACATTTTGTTTGATCAAGGCAGGTGCAGTTTCTCCACTTATCCAAATACTAGAAGATAAGGATGAAGAAGTAGTAGAAGCTGCTTTGAATGCCCTTTCAACTCTTTTGCAAGATGAGATATGGGAAGGTGGTGTCAATTGCATAACCAAATTGTCAGGTGTAAATGCTCTTGTCAAAATATTAGAAGCAGGTGATGTGAAGGTTCAAGAAAAAGCATTATGGATGTTGGAGAGAATATTCAGGGTTGAAGAACACAGAATAAAATATGGAGATTTTGCTCAAGTTGTTCTTATTGATCTTGCACAGAGGAGTGATTCTAGATTAAAGTCAACAGTTGCAAAGGTTTTGGCTGTGCTGGAGCTCCTGCTAGTTCAATCAAGCTATTTTTGATACAAAGTTTATCTCTGCGATTCATATTATGCTAGTGAATATATTATGTTCTATTCATTTATATTTTTTTGGTGTACATGCTTGTATAGTTGTATTTAATTTTGTTTCCATCATGGTAAATTACCATGATGTATCAGGAAGATATAGAAGTTATTATCCGATATCTGTCTATAATATATATATATATATATATATATATATAAATTTATTTTGTGAAAAGTTGAATGAAGTGTGTCAATATCTCATGAAAAACTTCTTTAGTACTCTTTTTTTATCTCTGATTATTTTCAGAAATTTTATTCTATTGTATATTTTTATAAAAAAAATAATAATTATTATTTGACAAGGTCATTTATTATTCAACATTTTCTATATTAACATGTTATTTTGACATGTTGTATTGGAACTCATTCTAAGAAACTACAAAAGAAAAGAAATCCTATGAGCACATAAAGAAATAAATAAAACCTTTCACCAAATAGTGTTATCAAAATTTGGAATCAATCCTATGTGCTTTGTAACTTTGAAGTTCTTTTTGCCTTCTATTACAAACCCTGCATTTGAATAGAAGAAAAGTTAACCAACGAAAGTTAGGTATCATGTTTTGTTTTCTTGTATCTTCATGTTTGATTCTCCCTTATTTACATTGTTTGAAATCAGTTTGACGTGTTCTACGACTTCATTGCTCTTACTTTCTATATTTACAAATCCTGTAAATAAATAGAGGAAAGGTTAACCAATAATAGTTAGGTATAATTTGCATTTTATTTTCTTATTTTTTCATGTTTGGTTTACCTTTCTTTATATTGTAATTGTATGGACACCCAAAAAATAAATTCACCCAGCAACAAGTCCTTTCAACTTTTTTTTTTTAATCAATTTTATGTACTTTGCGACTCCACTGTCCTTAACCAAAAATCTTGCATTTGAATAGGAAAAAAGCTTAACAAAGCAAACTTAGGTAGTATCTCGATTTTCTTTTCTTATATTGCAGATTGCGATATCTATAATTTGATTGTGATTAATTTTAATTATTAGAGATTTTCATTTTGATTTGTAATTATCTTTGTATATCTTTGTAATTATTCTGTTATTTTTTCCTTATTTTTGTAATATGTTAGAAAGATTTGTAGGAGATCTGTTAGCTCTATTTTGAGAAAGATCTGATGTTGTTTTGTATATATTAGGCATTTAGCCTCCAAAGAATAAATAAGGAAAAAGATTTATCTTTGTTTTGTTATGGTACCAGAGTTGTAACAAGTTCTGTTGTGACCAGAATTTTTAAGCCATATGGCAGAAAAGAAGGAAATAAGTGAAACTACAAAACCTGAGGTGGGAAAGAAAATATCATCTCCATATGACTTGAGTTTGAGTGATAATCCAGGAAACGTGATCATCCAAGTGCAACTAAGAGGTGAGAATTATAAGGAATGGGCTAGAGCTATGAAGAGGTCCCTACGTGCAAAATGAAAGTGGGATTTTCTCGAAGGCACAATAAAACAACTAAAGGAAGGATCTTTCAAATTGGAAGATTGGTGGACGGTACAATCAATGTTGGTGTCATAGATCCTAAATACAATTGAACCAACACTACATTCTACTATCTCATATATGGAAAATGCCAAAGATTTATGGAAGGACATTCAAGAATGTTTTTCAATTGTTAATAGATCCAAAATTCAACAATTGAAATTCAAACTAGCTGAATGCAAACAAAGTAGAATGACCATGGTAAGTTACTATGGAAAATTCAAAGCTTTGTGGGATGAATTAGCCAATTACCAGCAAATATCGAAATACACATATGGAGGATGCAAATGTGATATAGCAGCCAAACTAAAGAAGCACAGGGAGGAAGAAAAAGTGCATGAAGAGCGCATGAAGATAATTACTAAAACAAAGGAAGGACGAGGGGAGGGTCCAAGGTGGCAGAAAAACAAGAGGACACGATAAAATAAAAGATAACAATGTAGAATGCTTAATTTGCAAAAGAAAGGGACACTATGCATTAAGTGCAGGAATTTTATATATAAAATTAAAGATAACACAATTATATATAATACACATCATAACAACTCAATACAATTCCAACTATATATAATTGAATAATTGCGTTAAACGTGTACCTGATGAGAACCCACGAGTCATAAGCAATCCCGATGAGAACCATGAGTCATAAGCAATCCTTGTTTTGAGTGAGCGTGTACTACTCTCTTATCTGATTGCTATTATCCCAAACTAGTAACTGTCTAATAGGGCAACAATTATATAAGCCTAATCAGATGAGAGCAGGAACCTCTCATTGGGCACATAGAATAGTCCAACCCATCATGTACTATTTACACTAAGAGCCCAATTACAAAATCTATATAATAATAATAATAATTATTATACACATTTATTTTACGTCATAATTAATAATAATATAATCATAATAATTTAATAATGTTAATCCATAAATTAATATAAATATTAATATTAATGTTAAAAAATCTAACATTCTCTCACTTGGATAGCATTATTAAATTACTAAGTTCACAAACTATGTTGTCGTAACAAGTTATTAATTATCACCAAAGAAATAATAAGCTCTCGATAGTATACAATTATATCCGATAGGGATATATATTACATACTACAAGCAACTTATATTCCAATCACAATATAGATAAAGGAAACGTAAATATCATTTCCACAAAGGTCCAAGTATAAAAAGATTGTCATAAAAGTGACGTCAACAAAACATATATCTCATAAAGAAATTAGATAATAATGTCAACAAACAAATACAAAATTTAACTCCCACTAATCCAAAATATCAAAAGACTTGACCAAACTCATATGAGCTACATGATTCAAAAAAAGCTCCAATGGTAAAGCCTTTGGTTAGTGGATATGCTAACATGTTCTTTGTAGCAATGTACACAATTTGAGTCTAAAACTCAAGTATTTTCTCTCTAATAAACAAATATTTTAGATCAAAGTGTTTCAAACGAGTAGAACTCTTATTATTCTAAGAGAGAAGTACAACAGCAGTATTGTCGCAATAAATCACAAGTGGCCTAAATATACTCTTAATAATGTGGAAGCCAGAAATCAAATTTTTTAGCCACATAGCCTAGCGGGTAGCCTCATAACAAGCGATATACTTTGTTTTCATAGTAGAAGTAGCTATAACTATCTATTTGACACTTTTCCAAGATACAGCTCCTCCCGCCATCATAAAAATAAAGCCTGAAGTAGACTTACGGTCGTCAGGACAACCTACAAAATCAGAGTATCCAATGACCTAAAGTTGATCAGACTTCGCATAGGTCAACATATAATCTTTGATTCCCTGCAAATATCTCAAGACCTTCTTCACGGCTTTCCAATGAGCCAAACATGGGTTGCTCAAGTATTTATTCAAAGCATTAACAACATAAGCAATATCGAACAAGTACAAACTTAAGCATACATCAAACTCCCAACAGCGGAAGCGTATGAAACTTTCTCCATTTCAAACAACTCTCTATCATCATGAGGACATCAAAAAATTAGAGAGTTTCTCACCCCTTTGAATAGGCGTGACACATAGGGAGCAAGAATACATATTAAACCTTTTAAGGATCCTATCAATGTACCCTTTCTGAGACAATCTAAGAGTAACACAAGACCTATCACAACATATCTGGATGCCTAGAATAACATAAGCATCATCAAGGTCTTTCATATCAAAATGGCTACTCAATATATTCTTTGTCTCATTCAAAGATATCATCAACATGTACGACAAAGATGATAAAATTGCTCCCACTCATCTTCAAGTAAATGCACAGATCTCAAGCATTTTTCTTGAAGCCAATAGAAGTGACCACTTGGTCAAACTTCAAGTACCAATCTAGAAACTTACTTCAAACCATAAATGGATTTTATTATTCTATAATTAAATTCAAGTTATAACAAAATTTGATTTATGTTAGTCCACACAAAATATTCAACAATTTATCTCCCACTTGGACAACATAAATCAGAACATCTTATTATTCTAGACAGCACGATTAAACAACATGGTTTAATATTTTGACATCTAATTAATCTAGAATTAAATTCAAGTTATAACAAAAAATTGATTTATGTTAATCCACACAAAATATTCAACAATCGGTGGCCATAACAAGATGCCAAAATAAACTGACACAAAATATAAATATTTTAACAATGCAGAAAATCATACTCGAAGGAGTAGTGATATCATACATTATAAGATACTTATATCATGTGACTCAACAACTCTAGTGGTATAAGTTAGACAATAAAATCTAGAACCCTTGGAGTCTACACAATATCCTACAAAGAAACTGTTAATTGATTTTACGAACAATAAAAGATAGTAAACTTTCTCCGTTTTATCAAATTCCTTAAGTTTCTCGCCTAGAGGCACTATTAAAATTTCACAATTTTGTGACAAATATTTGCCAAAGAATTTGTTACTAATTTATCTGCAACGGATTTTGTGACTAAACTTACTTCATACTACTCATCTCAAGAACATTGTCTATAATGAACTTTATAATTACTAGACATATTTTATTAGAATGAGCCCATTTAACATGTTTTACTATAACCGCAGCAGAAGATTCAGGTGTAGAAACTTTAGACTTATTCTCAATAAGGGCAATATTCACATTAGAAAATGGCAAGAAACAATTTAACAGAGTCAACTCAGTCCTCATAATTGGTCCTGTTCAAAGTTTTCACCGAGGTGGGCATAGACACTGATATGAGAAACAACAAAGTTTAATATGCGCAATTAGCTCAAGTGCAACAATAATATGCCCATCACAAAATTTCTTACTTACTATGATCCCGCTTAAGGGTCCCGGATCACAATAAATAAAAAAGACGAATACAATGCATAAAACTTCATGTCACAAGAATCCTAACACCGATAGGGTATCAGTACAAAATTGACATAAGTAAAATACAATTGCATAGTATTTTCAAATCACATTAATAACAATACATCGATAGGATATAATTATTATTAATGCAATATATAATTATATAATTTATACAAGTCATGTATAAATGGTCTCACGATAGGTGAGATGACATTTATACAGAACAATCATGCATTTAGAATTAATTTAAATATGTATATTATGCATGAAATCAT